AGCCGCCCAGGGGCAAGAGCACCCGGATTGCAAATTGCCGCATGCTTTTTTAAGTTAGGCAAAATACTATAGAATTGCAAACAGAGGAATAAAAATTCAAATCGAAAAAAACTCAAGACATATATAAAATCCGACTAAGTCGGAATACTTCATTTATATTTGAAATGGCACAAAGGCCAGAATAATTGTTAACCGGACACATCCGGTGAAGAAAGAAAGTGGAAATGTTAATCCAACCCCATGGTTGGTAAAAAGATAAAACAAAACACGGCATGCAAGCCGGTAAACAACATTGATTGGCATATTGCCGCAGAAAGGTGGGAGGCTCGCCTAAGGCTGAGGCGGAGTCTTCTCCGGCTGAGTTTGGCTGGCTTGGCCCTCTTGATGATCATCCGCCGGCTCCTCATCATCCGAGACTTCATATCCCTGCTCAGCAGCCCAGTCTTGGAAGCGAGGCGGAGGAGCATCACCTAGTTGCTGGGCATCATACACCTCAGTGGCATAATCATACCTCAGCTTATAGACCTCAAAATCTATTTCTAGGTAGAGGAGGCCCCAGGTGATCTTCAGCCGGGCCAAGTTGTCCCGTTCATTCTCCTCAGTCAGTCGGGTCTGCTCCCGGTCCAGCTCATCCGTCTGCTTGTTGCGCAGGGTCATGAGCTCAAGCTTCAGGCGGTCATTGTCAATCTGGAGTTGGGCATTCTCCTTGTCAGCATCTTCTAATGCCTTGAGATCAGACTTGGCATCTTTCAGCTGCTTATCAAGGTCATCAGCCCGGCTGTTAGCTTCATCGTTTGCAGCCGTCAAACTCCGGATCAGCTCCTCCTGTTTCAACTCTACTGCTTTAATCTTTAAATTACACATATAATCAGAATGTTCAGTAAAGTTAAGGTTTTCTAGGGCCCTCCGTTTGGCGTCATTTACCTCTTCCTGTTTCCGCCTGAAGGGACCCCGGAGATTGTCCACTCTCACCATAGCCTGAATCAATAACAGTCGGTTTATGAGTTACTTAGTCAGAATAAAGATTAAAGACATCAAGGTAGAGGAATCATGTACCTCAGCCAGAGAGCCCATTATCCGGTCAAAGTCCACGACCTGCAGATCAGGTATGGAGGCCTTCTTAGACCGGGTGAGGGTCCTCACCATCCGCTTCGCGAAGCCGGCAAGATCCGCCGGGTTAGGAAGCAGATCTGCACCAAAAGTAGTTCTTTGTGAGATAGAAGCAGCGTAGCTGGCATTCATCCGTTGCCGGCTGCTGGCTGACCCTTTTGAAGAATCAACCTTAGTCTTAATTCTCATAAAATTAAGTGGTCAAGGTATTTCAGTTCGTTCCTTACCGTGAACTTCCGGACGGGTCTCCGGCTTGTCCTTCCCCCCAGCTGTTGCCGCACCGCCTGCAACCTTAGGTGGCGCGCCACCCTTCGAAGCCGTAGAGGCCTCCGGCGCTTTCTGCTGTTCTGAGCTTTCACTCAGTTTCTTCAGAACAGCAGGGGATTTGCCCCCAGTCATTGGACGACCAGATTAGGCAGAACTTTGCTTCTGGGGGGGATCCTTCCTTGCGGCTTTGGCAGCCGGAGCCTTCTCCAGATCATCTCCCTGCCTTTTGAGAAGCTTGGAGAATGATCGAGGGATTCTCTTGGCGGACTCCTGAGAAAGAAGCAAAATATAAGTATACCCAACCGGTATGTAAAAAAAAAAAATGCAAACATAAAGTCAGGCGCTCTTACCCCGCCTTTCTTCGTAGCCTCGACGACTGCCTTTTTGACAAGGGCCGCCTCCTTGCGCAGTTGCGCCGCAGATTTAGCAGGAGTCTTATCCTGGTCAACCATCCTCAGGGCTTCTTCTGCAAAAACAAGAATGTCAAGTTAGAAAGAATTAAGGCAAGTTTGCAATAAAAATAAAATGACAATCATTCCGGATGAGAAGTATTCTACCCCTGGAAAACATCGTACTCAGTCCGCAGGCGGACAAGAAGCACTCATCTTTGAAGAAGTCCGGATGGGGGATCCAGTTCTTGGGAACTATGATGTGAGTCCCATCCCCCATGGGCTCAGTTGTTGTCTCAAAAAATCCCGGCTCCATGATTTGCTCCCGGGCTTTAGTAGATAGTTCCGGGAGAGGGCATTTACGTCCAAGAAGAGCCGGCTCAGTGTTGTACCGGCGTAGTGTCCGATTGTGTCTTAGGGTTGGAGAGGAAATCAAATAGAACTTGTCCTTCCACCCGGACCACTTGGACACTTTGTCCAAAGTCATTAGATATTGGGGCAGGGTAGTCAGCGTATACCATGCCCCATGGCCGCCTGGAGCCTTGCTCAAGTAGTGCCTATGAGCGAAGGCAAAGAAGCTGGGGTTCAAGTTTTGGAACTCGCAGGCGGCAATGTAACTTAATATGTTCACCCACGAATTAGGGGTGAGCTGCCAAACCCCCAGATCATACCCCTTAAGGATTTTCCTAATCCCGGGGTGGAGGGGGAACCGGAGGCCGGCTTCTATTACCGCCTCATAGCAGATGAAGTAGTCATCTACATGGTCAATGTCATCCCCCCAGGCCATCACAGCATCAGCCGGAGGGACAATAACTTCCCAACCCTTTCCAAATGGATGTTTCTCTTTAAAATCCCTGAACCCGCTATTAAGAAGGGCAATGTTACTCGGCAGCATCCGGGTTCTTTTGGGGTTGGGATGGTCAGCAACTTTGGGCGGCTGCTGATAGTCAGCCGCAAAATCTCCTTGGTCAGAGCCGGAGGATTCTGCTCTTGGTCCCTGGCCGGCTTCAGCGTCGCCGACTTCATTTGAGGAGGCGGCTCCTTCGCCGTCCACCTCTCTTACTCCCGATCTCCCGGAGGTAGAGGGAGCCTCCTCGTCAGATCCGCTCTCCTCCAAATTCCTCGGATCCCCTTCCGGGAAAACCTCATCGGCAGGCACTCTCATGGTGCGCCGGCTCTTAGACCGCCTGGCCGTTTTTTTCGTTCTGGCCATTGTGTCCTGCACAGACACAGAGATGGAGGAATTCGGAGATGAGCATATTGGTTCCGACAGTCCAGAAGAGGCACCCCCTGTTCTAGACTCAGCCGTTCCTGGGGATCGGCTGAGTGTCCTAGGCAGTGCCGAGTGGGTGGATTGGGAACTCATTTATGTTCTATTAAGAAAGCCAGGTATACAGGCGAAAAAACGGTATGCAAATTGAAAGGGAGAAAAGCTAAAATGGTACAGGCGGTTACCTTGCTTTAACTCTGGAAAATCTGAAAACCGCTACAGCCGGTGAGCCGGGTGATGAACTTCTAGCACTCGGAAGCTTGAAACTTGCTGTTATGCAGGCGGGAGCAGAGAAAATTCTCTCTCTAGAAATCTCTCTTTTTCTCTCTCTAAAAAGTCAATATGAACGTTAGGAGTGAAAAGGAGGGGGGTAACTTTCTATTTATAGAAAGTAAAAGTGGGGGGAAAATTTTGATTTGAAATTCAAAATTTTACCCGTTACTGTTCACCTATGAGAGGTGGACACGTGTCACAGGCCCCACGTGACATGCACGTGCGACCTGTGAGGGGCAAATGTTTAGGGTATTTTTACCCTAGACACGTGGACCAATGAGAGGTCGCCACGTGTCGAGCTTAGGATGGCCCATGTGGCTCAACATCCTCTTGACACTTGGCGCCCTTAGATATGTTTCCAAAATGGCGGCCTTCAAAGGCCCAGATTCCTAATCGCGCCGTAAAACGGCGCAGCCCACTAAAATCTAGGTCAAGTGACCTAGGTAGGGGCGCATTTTCCAACGACCCTATAAATAGGGAGATATTTCCCCACTTTGGGGGACACATTGAATCATTGATTACACCCTTATTCTCTTAAAGACCTGAGCTTGGAATCCGAGCAGATACCCACCTAAATTTCCATTCTCTCTATTCCGTTTCAAGTTACTGACTTGTGCGTCGGAGGCGGAGCACCACCCAACCGGTGTCTCCGTTTGTTTTGCAGGTACAGCTCACTGCGGATCAGTCTTCGTGTTGTAACTCTCCCAAGGGACAAAAACACCCAAAACAATAATAGTACGTGTTACCTAGTAAGTAGCTTATATATTGCTAATGTTGATTGAGTCCTTTGTAGCTTTACGTAGCGTTTACATGGAATTGTAAGCCTAATGACATTACGTTAATATCAAGGCAAGGGGCAGCCTGCTTCGACATTGTTGAATACTCAAGTTTAATTTGTCAAAAAGAAAGGAAGTACGAGTCCAATTTCTATACTTTTCAACATTATTCCAGGGCATGGCAAAGCTAGCAGTAATAAGGGTCTATTCGTTCGTTGTTGTAGATGATCGAAGTATCAAAATTGACTATTGAGGGTACAATACATAAAGATCATGATAACTTTTCATTATTTACATGCAATTATACTAATTATTAAAATTACCAAGTATACTTATGAGGACTACCCAGTCAATTCCCCAGATAAACAAAATTTGTTTATGTGGGGGTATAATTGTCTTTTCAAGTACCAATGGAGGGGTATATGCGTCTTTTCACGTACTAGTTGAGGGGTACATGTGTAATTTCCTCGTCAAACAGTAAAAGCAAAAAGCAAACAGTAATTGGACAACTCACCAAAAGTACTGAATAAATGACTCTGCTTTTTCAATATATTTACAAAAATGTCATCAGATTGACAAAAATTCGTTTATTTGGCAGATTAACTTGTATTTTCCCTATACTTATATTAATAAGAAAAGTATTGACTCAAATAATTTTAATTTTCCTAACTTGAATTGATCTGGTGTATATATGACTTGCTTGCATGTCATCCTTCAACAAACTCAGCTTTATTATTTTCATAATGGACTATATGATTGATGTATATACAATTATACACCATAATTATTAAACTAAACATTGACTTTCCTACATTAATATATACAATAATTTCTTTAATTAATAATGTACTTAATTTATGTTATTTAGTTAGCTACTACATACCTTTCTTCTTCTTAGGTACGAGAGTTTTTTCCCCCCCCAAAAAAAAATGGTGCAAGCAAAACATATTTGCTTTGTGTTGCTTTTGTCACAATTTTTGTGGTGTAATTATTGTACTTCAACACCTCTAGTACCGGCTTTGTATGTTTTTGGAGATTCATTATTTGATGGTGGAAATAACAATTGGTTGCCTACTTTGGCCAAAGCAAACTACCTTCCTTATGGTCAAGATTTCCCCAAAGGCCCTACCGGAAGATTCAACAATGGCAAACTCCTCGTCGATTTTATAGGTACGTATATATGGTATTATTTGTGCTCCCTCGAAATAGATTTAATGATCATTTTCCTATTTTATACATACATGCAATGGATCAACAAATACTTGGTGTTCATACTCTTTAATTTGTGTCCAATTTTAATGTCGAAGTATGTATAATTGTAAATTACTTGTATGTATGTAATTCTATATTTCTATAATAATGCTAGAGTTATTTGTTCATGTTTTTTAGTCTATGCATGTTTTATTATCTTTTACACGTATGATTGTCAATGATTTTATCATCGTTGCTCATGCTCCAATTTTAGATTTGGTACGCGTACAAGTTTCTTGTCTGATCTATTAATAAGTTAATAATTTATTTTTATTTTTATTGTAGCTGAGTATCTTGGACTGCCATTCTCACCACCCTACATAAAGCCATTCCGGACAAATTCACTTACAGGTTATAATTATGCATCTGGTGCTTGTGGCATTTTATCCGAAACTGGAAAAGATATAGTAAGATATCCGTGCATTTCATTTTTTACATAATGCTCTCAGACTCTCAATTAATTAGCTTATTACTCTTAGATTCGGTTTGATTTGATGCAAAATGTTTAGAAGGAAAATAATTTTTCAATTTTTATTTCCATTTTCCATAATTATATGCATTGTCTACATAGTACATACACTTACTATTGCTCTCGTAATCTCATTCATGCACGTTGCACGTACATAAAACGGCAAGAGACGGTCTCATATTGATAACCACGGATTAAACTTAGTTAATGCATGCACGTTAATTTAATGGAAAGATTCATGGACTACATTAAACTTTAAAGCCACTGAAAATTTTAAGGTACAGTCGCCTGTACCTAGCAAGGTACAGGCAAAAAAACGCGAAAAGAACATGTAGCAGTTTTTTAAAGAACATAAATCTGTTTTGTAAAGAACATATAACTGTTTTGTAAAGAACATCCAATTTTATTTTTTTTATACATCTAAAGAACATCCCTAATATTTATAAAGAACATGAAAATATTATGTAATGAACATGGTTTATGTATATTCACCATAATTTAAAAAAAAATTAAAGAACATTTCACAATAAGTAATTAACATTATATCACAAATAAAAGTACATTACACTGACAATTAAAGAACATGAACATATGTTCTTTTCACTCTTTTTTAATATAAATATGTTCTTTTACTTTAGATATGTTTTCATTACTTTTTAATAGTATGTTCTTTTCATTACAACAGTATGTTCTTTACATGTGTATAATATGTTCTTTTCGCGAAACGGTTGTACGATGCAAGGTACCAACGCCTGTAGGAACCACACATTGTAAAGCCACAACATAATTCTTGTATTTGACACCGTCTATTTTAACTCTTAATTAATTTACACCGTTTATTTTATTGTCTTTATTAAAAAAATAAAAAAAGTTGATTAGTAAATTAATTAGTTACGGAGTATTTCAATCCTTTTGCCTACTTAAAGCTATGGTACAAAATTATTCGTATAGAAGAAGAGCTTTATTTTTCTAATTAATTCAGGTCTTCAACTAGTTCAACTACTCGTACTTCTTAAGATTATCACTTCCATTAATATTAAATAATACGGTTTTTTCACCATATACCCTTAAATTTTTTGTTTATTCACCATATACCATAAAAATTTTCAAAAATCACCATATACCCTTGAACTGTTACACAAATTCCCATACACCCCTAATGACTGATTGACAGCAAGATGAGTGAAATTTTATTAATTATGCATGCATTAACACCACCTTAAACCTCTCCCTCCATCCCCAAACCACTCATCTTCTTTGTCCAATCCTTGAAACCACTCCAAATCTCCAAATTCATATCCATGTGATCAATTTTGAGGATGAAAATTAAAATTGGGGTGGGAAAAAAATGTGGGGGATTTCAGATGTAGGAGAATGTATTTAGGGTGATTTCGGGTCATAATTAACCCTAATAATTGACAAAATTAACAATTATTAGTCAACAAGGATATATTGTGTATTTTTTATGATTACTCGAGGGTATATGATATATTCTAAAAGAGTCATGGATATATGATTAATAAATAAAAAACTCAGAAATATATAATGAAAAATCCGTTTAATAATAATAATAATAATAATAGTAATAATAATAATAATAATAATAATAATGTGTCCCTTATGTACGTAGTGTCAAGTTGTCAACTATTGTCAAAGCACTCGTGCAACATACCGGCAAACAATCAAGAATAATCCCGATTTTGACGGCATGCATGTGATGAAATTCCATTGATGATCTTTTCAATCAACATTATACTCAAATTCAAATATATTTTCATTGATACAATGAGGTCTACCCACTTGACCAACTTATGATATGAGTAATAGAAGATTGACCAAATAAAACTACTCCTTATATTGTGCTTGTAGCAATCATGTTGCTTTGCGGAGTAGTAGTTTAATTTCAAAACATTATCCTTCATGTACTATACACTGTTTCAAGTTATTAACTTGAGTATATATATGGTGCACACTTAAGGGGAAAATACAAGTTAATCTTCAGATAAATGAATTTTTGTTAATCTGATGACATTTTTGTAAATATATTGAAAAATCAGGGTTATTTGTTCAGTACTTTTGGTGAGCTGTCCAATTACTGTTTGCTTTTTGCTTTTACTGTTTGGTGAGAAAATTACACATGTACCCCTCAACTAGTACATGAAAAGACGCATATTCCCCTCCACTACTACTTAAAAAGACAATTATACCCCCAGATAAACAAATTTTGTTTATCTGAGGAATTGACTGGGTATCCCTCACACTTAAGTGATAGTTCTATGATATACATTTCGTCTTAAAATGAGTACCATTATACTAATTTTTTATTGGCTGGTTTTTAACTTACATTTTATATCAAAATCAATTATAAATGTTTATTCTTGTTAATAATTTTATTTTATTTTTTACATTTTTCATGATTAATTTTATAATGAATTATTTTTTTTAATTTCAGTGATAATAATACCTGAATTTTGTTGATTAATTAGGAAAGTTATAAAAATAATATTCATAAATTATTTCTAAGTTATTAAATGAAATTTGAAAATTTGATAAATGATTATACGTAGCAATTAATTTTGATATTAATATATAAATAAAAATCAACTAATAAAAAATTAGTATTCTTCATAATATTAGTCTCATATATTGTACTATTTTGGGTGTTTAAAAAAGATATAACCATATTGAATATGTTCCATTTTTAACTTATTTTTTTTGGAGTTAATTGGTTGTGGATTAATGACATGACTCTACTACCTTGAATTATGCATTATGACTTATGCTTTCCTAAAAAAAATTCAAAAAACTTAAATAAGGTAAACTAATTATGAAATATTTTGTACTTTAATGCTATATTCCAAATATTCTTCTTTTTTTATTTTATTTGATGATTACATATGGGATTAACATTATGAAATGGAGGAAGTACAATAGTTATTTTAAGAATAGTTACATAATCATCCATACCAAAGAGTATTGTTTGCTCTTTTTACCCTTAGATTGGATCAAAACGAACACGGATGACATTTTTATTTGTTTTTGGCTAGGTTATAATTTACGACTTTTTTGAAATTTTGGTACTACCAACCGCATATAAATTCGATGAGTTCATAATAATTTACTGAATTTCTCTTGTACTCGTACTCCTGTTAGTCAAGTTACCAAATGTTGCTTCGTGACCTTGTTTTTTAATGCATTTTTCAATAATTATATGGAAAATTTGCAAATTGCATCCATTTAAAGTCCGTATTTTGCAAATTGCAGCCATTTAAATTTTTTTTTGCAAATTGCAGCCCAAAAGTTCATATAAATTGTATGCAGCACAAAAGTTCATATAAATTGTAAATTGCAGCCCGATTTAACTTTTTCATCGGTTTACAAGTTGAAAAATCTTCGATTAAGGTTTTAGGGGCCATTTTAGCGCTTAGGGATCCGAATTGAGCTTGGAATTAGCAAAAAAATAACGCAAGTATCTCGTTTTGCGTAGCAAAAGTGTATCGATTTGTGGGAAACTGTAAATATGAGACACTTACGTTATTTTTTTGCTAATTTCGAGCTCAATTTGGGCCCCAAAGGGCTAAAATGACCCCTAAAACCTTAGCCGAAGATTTTTCAACATGTAAACCGATGAAAAAATTGAATCGGGCTGCAATTTACAATTTATACGAATTTTTGGGTTGCAATTTGCAAAAAAAAAATTAAATGGCTGCAATTTGCAAAATATGAATTTAAATGGCTGCAATTTGCAAATTTTCCTAATTATAGTAGGAGTATTTTTTACTTCATGTTGGAACATAAATTTCAGAATGAAACATGCTAATCAATTGTTCAAAAAATTTGTCACTTGAGATCCATTTATTAATTGGAAAAGATTGTTCAAAAAAATTTGTCAAAATAAATTTTACTCCGTATCTAATTGTCTAGATATAATAATGGGTATGGTATTACCGAGTACTACATTCATACATACTCCGAATAATATTGATTTGTACTATTCTAGATATTCTAAAATTTAAGAATTCGATCATTATAAACGGCGCCTTTTTGGTGCAGCAGGCCACACCGTGTGGCCTGCTTCCAAATCAGCAAAATAACGGAGAACGACGCGCGTATAACGGGATTAGGAAACAAGCGCTGAACAAAATTGCTCTACAAAACATGCGCAAATTTCTAAACCTTAAAACCCATAACAACTCATTTACGAGGAACGAATGCGAAAATTGAGCGAAACCTCACACAATTTTTCTTCCAGAAATTAAAGAATAACAATGGCAGAAGAATTCGAAAAATTACCTGATTCACAAAAATCATTAGAGATCGAACAAATTGAAGATTCTTTTATGAATCTTGAAATCCAAACCAGTAATCAGGTATTGGATGTGGAAGATGAAAACAGATACAATGAAATTGAAGAAATTAACAAGTAACCCTGTAAAATTAACATGTAACCCCTGTTAAACTAACAAGTAACCCCTGTAAAACTAACAAGTAACCATAACAAAAATTAACAAGTAACCCCTAAAATAAACAAGTAACCCCTATAAAATTAACAAGTAACCCCTGTTAAACTAACAAGTAACCCCTAAAATAAACAAGTAACCCTAACAAAAATTAACAAGTAACCCCTAAAATATACAAGTAACCATAACAAAAATTAACAAGTAACCCCTATAAAATTAACAAGTAACCCCTGTTAAACTAACAAGTAACCCCTAAAATAAACAAGTAACCCTAACAAAAATTAACAAGTAACCCCTCTTAAACTAACAAGTAACCACTAAAATAAACAAGTAACTCTAACAAAAATTAACAAGTAACTCTTAAAAATAACAAGTAACCCCTATAAAACTAACAAGTAACACCTGAAACTTAACAAAAATTAACAAGTAACCCCTCTAACTTAACAACAAATTCTGTAAAACAAACAAGTAACTCCTAATAAACTACGAGTAACAAGTAATAACCCCCTAAAACTTTACAAATAACCCTTGTAAAATCAACAAGTAACCCCTCCCTATAAAACCAACGAGTAACCCCTAAAACAAGTACACTGTAATTTTAAAAATGTAATCCCTACATAATGAAAAAAGAAACTATTGTTGTATCTTCTACATTAGCAAGCTCCTCCAGCATCTTTTTAGCAGCCTCCATTTCATCTGCCTTTTTTTTTCTTTTCATTCTCTAGTAATTCTTCATAAATTGCTTGATTTCTACTCACGAATTCTTTCACACCACCAAAAACAATCTCACGATACTTGTTCAAATTGCAGAGCATAGATGACAGGAAAATCGAAAAATTACTAAAATTAGGGTTTGATTTATATCAGAAGTAGGAGAGTTCAGCGTATATGTCGATCCTTTCTTTTCCTTGGGGAAAATTATCTTGATTTTAGTCATTAACAACAAAAAGAACAATTTAGAGGAGAGAGAATTTGAGGAGAAGAATTTGAGGAGAGAGAAAATGGAAGAAGAATAGTTTGAGGAGAGAGAAAATGGAAACAGAGAAAATGAGAAAACTTTGGGAAAGAAGAACCTTTTGATGTAATAAAATGAAAAAAAAGACACCTTTTATTTTATTTTTTTTAATTTAAAATAACGGACCCGTTTGGTATAACGGAGTCCGTTATATGAAACGGACTAACCACACCATGTGGCCAGCCACATATAAAAATTTGCCTTATAAATATATGTGTGGATTAATGTAAGTAATGTATACAAATTTTTTTAAAATAGATTTATTGACAAAATATTTCCATTTTAATGGAACAGCTTCTTTATTAATTACAAATATACTGGAGTATGTTGTACTTTGTAGGTTTATTATTTAAGTTAACATATACTAATACAAAACACATATTTTTCAGGGGATATGCTTGGATTTAGATAGTCAAATAAAGTTGTTTGAAAGGACGGTGAGGAAACATTTATCATCAAAATTGGAAAACCCAACTCAGGTTTCCCAACACTTGGCTAAGTCCATATTCATGGTCTCCATGGGCAGTAATGATTTCCTCGGCAACTACTTTGGCAAGTCTTCTGAAACAAGGAAACTTTATAATCCTCAAGAATTTACACAACTTCTCGTTGATTCATTATCGCAAAAATTACAGGTGATCATCACAATTATTATTTTATATAACTTATCCCGAAACAAAAATAAAGTATTAATATATGAAACTTTTATAAAGTATTAATATATGAAATTTTTATATAGCTGCTCGTACAATATATATACAAATCTAACACATACAAATATAACACATACTACCTCCGTTGCATATTAGTTGCAACTTTGGAGTATTATTTGTGAGATATAAAATATTTCAAAATTGCAATATAAAATATTCCAAAATTGCAACTAATATGAAATGGAGGTACTAAAAAAGAAATTTATAGGATATGCACTCTTAACTTATAAGAACATTTAAATTGTGTTTGCGATATTTAGAATATTAAAATTAGCAAAGTCTTGGGTTGGGATAGATGTATCAAAATATGAGGTCTGTATACGATGTAAAAACGTGAAACTACTAAGGTCTTGTTCTTTTGATATAGCTTCTTTATATAAAAATTTTAGATTTGAGTTTTTCAAAATAAATTAAAAGTTTCTATTGTTTTGATGCAGATATTATACGAATTAGGAGCTAGAAAGGTGGTAGTGTTAGAGGTCGGACCAATTGGTTGCCTTGAATCTATGATTAAGCGTTTCAAGCCCAATGGAAGATGTGATGAAAATGTAAATCAAATAGTAATAAATTTCAACACTGAGCTAGATATGATGTTGAAGAAATTGAGTTCCACTCTTGAGCATTCTCATTTCATACTTGGACGTGCAAATTCGCTTGGTTATGATGCTATTATCAACCCCGGTAATCATGGTACGTATGCTACCTATATTCTAATAAATTTGCTTTAATACTATGCAATTTAAATACTCGCTCTATCCCTTAACTTAGGGCCTGTTCATATTGACTTCAGTTCAATTCAGCCCAATCAGTTGAGCTCAGTTCACTTTCAATCAGTTCAATACAGCTCCTAATTTCCCTCTCTCATAAAGTATTCATTTCAGCTCAGCTTAGTTCATTTCAATTCGGTTCAGCTCAGTTTGTTCAGTAAATGTGAACAGACCCTTAAAATTCATCCCTTGAAATATGTTGTTTTTAGTACATTTTATACCTATATTTTTTCCCTTTCCTAACATATTGTATAATTTATTGAATTGCGTGGGATATGACACATATTTTGCAGGGTTAAGAGATAGTAAAAATCCATGTTGTACAACGTGGGAAAATGGCACATTAACATGCATCCCGTTACTAGAAGCATGCCCAAATCCAAACAAACATTTCTTTTGGGACAGTAGTCATCCTACTGAAGCTGTCAACTCTCTCATTGCTTCTCAATGTATCAATGGTTCCTCCGTTTGTCTTCCCCTCAATATCCAGCAACTCGTTCAAGTGTAGACATACCAACAATTCTTTTTTGTATATCGATCTTTAACTTCTGAACTTATTTATCTGGTCTATAGAGCGAAACTATAACAAATACTTGTACGTATGTACTTCAATGCATTGATATTCAAAACTGATGAGTTTTACAATACAATCTCACAAGATCCATTATTTAATTTATTTCGAAGAAACCATCTTAATATTAAAAAAATAATATACATACGGAGTAATTAAGATACTCACTACTCCAAAGTCAGCAATCGACAATTCAATCTGAATTTGCATTTAAATTAAAAGACATGTAATTATGTGGACTGATGATTTCATGAATGCAAAACTATTACAATAATCCCTTGGAAAGTGGAATGTAACATTTTCCAACCACTTCATCTCCTGTACTCTTTATTAATGATACAGAAGATTCTAACTAGCTAAGGATGGAGTAACTCTAAACCTTACTCAATGCTTAGGGCTGCATATAAGCATTTAATATACTTTATATTTTAGTATTAAGTTGGGAATTTATCGACAATTCACGAGTAAATCGGTGTAATAAATGTTTATTAATTGTCAATTCTTTCCATTTTTAGCTTCTTATAGGGCTGCATATATCTTTTTCCATCTAGTTATTAGCAATTGACGATTTCTTAAAGTGAGGAGAAAAAGTAAGAAATTCTATAATTGGGAAATTATGACCTTAAGACATCAATGTTTTAAAGTGAATTCGATCAACTACGGAGTACATGCATCAAAGTATCAAACCTTAGCTTGTTTAATATAAATACGAGTACTATATATGTATTGTACTATAAATCCTATTCGTGGTCAACTTGATATATACTCCATATATTTCGTATATGCAACACACACCAAAAGTAAATTTACATACTCGTATATATGACTTGACATTATTTATGGATGATCGCTATTCGCTAGTGTTTATCCTATATAAGATTCTATGAAGGATTAATATAATCTCCAACGTGCTCACAATCACAACTCACAAGTATATGCATTGATAGTCTCTACTTTAATTTGTCATGTGGTATGACCGTGTTCTAAATACGACATAGTCATGTCATTTTCCACGATTTCTTGTTAGATATTCGAAAGAATTAGCAATAATAAGCTCATATAAAATAAAATCAGATGGATCATGGAAAATTCAATCCCTTTTATTTAGATAAATTCACAAATAAGTTCATTTTAATAAAAATAGTGCTAGACTGCTAGGTCAGTGCTCACCAATTGAATTAAAAATTAATTGAAAAGGTAAACCCAAAATATAATATATCAAGCATGGATTATCAGATATATTTTTTATACTGAACATTTATTGAAATTAAATGAAAGTATCATCGAAATCAGATTATGTATTATACTACTAATAAAAAATATAAAGGTTGCTAGTAATGCAAGCTACACTTGATTAATTTAATTGCATTTTTGCTCTATATAAAGGACTAAAATTCTTAAGTGAAAGTACCCATCAATTTATCAATTCCTCACTTCTATTTCTTGTTCTTTACTAATTACTTATAGTTAAATAATATTTTAAGAAAAATGATAGCCTTAATTCTTTCCTTGTTGATTTTCTCCCCTATTTTCTAAAGTGAATGTAGTTCACAACCTCTTGCTTCTGCCTTATTTGTCTTTGGAGATTCATTAACTGATGCTGGGAATAACAACTTCTATTCCTGGGTTGCTAGGGCTAATTACCCGCCTTACAGTGTCAACTTTCCAAACGGCCTTATTACCGGAAGATTCTCCGATGGCAAAACTATCGCGGATTTTATAGGTATTTGATTTTTTTGCATACTTTTGAATATTTTATATACATAAGATAGTTTTTATTTTATGATAAGGATGGAGAACCCTGGTGACTAAATTTCAACAATCACGAAATTCAAACCTCAAACCTCTAGGATGTGAGGCTAGAAAACTACCAAATGACTAAATGAGTCGATATTTTGTTGGTGTATATATGATTGAATTATATACGGAGTATTTCGTATGACTAAGTTAACCAGATAGTCCATAATTATACGTAGATAAGTACAGTATAAATAAGTTGACTTTGATTTATACAGAAATGTTTACACCTCTATAAAAAATAATAATAATCTACAATTCTACATTACCTTGACAAATGACAAACTTCACCGTACTTTGTGTTCGATGAGTGTACACAAGAACACAACTTATATTGACTTCCTCAAAAATAAAATAAAATAAATAAAAAAATCTTATATCAACATTATACTCGATCTATCATTCTACCTTATGTGGTACCATACTAAGAATTTGGTACATTATGTCATTGGGCGTACATAACATTAATACTTCGTATGTTTTTTTTTTTAAGTGTAGCTGGCTATTTGGGATTGCCGAACCCACGAACTTATCGTAAAATACTGTCAAATTAGGCACAAATTCTCAATCTTCTCATTCAACGTGTAACAAATATTTATACAAGTGTATGCCTTGGGGAATAATCTTCCTCACAAGATAATATTAACAAGATCACAATATATATCTACTTTCCTATCATATATTAAGATATATTCTATCTTAACTATACTTATCATATATTAAGATATATTCTATTTTAACATCCCCCCTCAAGTTGGAGCATGGAGATCTCGAATGCCACTTTCCAAGCAAAGGGGGTTTTATTTCCAAGCAAAGGTTTTATTTCAAAGCCGATAAAACACACTCTCCCCAAAATTTTATAAGCAAATTACCTTGAAATCTCAGCGCTCTAGCCACATTTAAAATATGTTGATGTTTTCTCTCAACTCTCCCATTTTGTTATGGTGTTCCCACACACAATGTCTCAAATATTATGCCACTTGTACAAAAATAATCACGCAAGGAGTTAAACTCCGTTCCATTATCACTCCTAACAATTTTAACCTCTTGATTAAATTGTCGTTTAATCATAGCCATAATATTCAAGAACATTTTTTCAACATCGGTTTTATTTTTCAATAAATAAATCCAAACTCCTCTAGAAAAATCATCAATTATGGTTAAAAAAATAATGTGCACCACAAGTAGAAGGTGTTTTATACGAACCCCACAAATCTATATGAATAAGTTCAAAAATACGACTTGCATTATTCTCACTAACGGGAAAACTACATCTAGATTGTTTAGCACGAGGACAAACATCACATGCTTTATTATTATTTCTCCTAGAAGAACTACTCACAATTGGAATCATCTTCAACACTGTCTCTGAAGGGTGACCCATCCGTTGATGCCATAAATCAAACGAAGACTCTCCATCCACTGCTAGCACCTTCACTTGAGGAACACCACGAAAAAGGTACAGTCCATCTTCATATTCAGCCACACCAATCACCCTCCTCGTCTGTTGGTCCTGTATCACACAAATTTTGTTAGTAAATTGCATCACATATTTAGACTCATCACTCAATTGAGTTACAAATATTAAATTGCAAGTTAATTGAGGCACGTATGTAAAATTATCAAGGCGTAATCCTCCCGGCAATATCACTGTTCCCAATTGATCTGCATTTGCCGACTTTCCATCCGGCAAGCCTACGGGACAATTTTGAACTCGCTTCACATCTCTAAGCATCGAAAACTCACATGTCACGTGATTTGATGCCCCTGTGTCTACAATCCAGGGTATATAGTATTGGTCTTACCATGCAATTGTCTATTTTTTGGATTTAATATATCCAAAATTTGTTAAATTTGTGCTGCATTCACGCCCACCAAACTTGCTGCATCATCACCCGAAGCATTCTTCGATTGTTGTCCACCATTAGATCCTCCAGCAACTTTATTTGCACGAACAGAGGACTGCGAAGTAGCATTTTCCGAGCCACTACTGTTGCTGCGTGACCCACGCCCGCCACTGCCAAGTCCCCCACCATGGCCGCCACCATGCCCAGGGCCACGTCCACCACGACCCCTATCACCTCACCATTCGGGGTAGCCATGAATCTGAAAACAACCCTCCTCGTCATGTCCTTCTCTATTGTAGTGAGTACAAAATTTATCACTTTTATCAGCATATTTTTGCTTCGACTTTGCATCCAACCTAAACGCACTCACTGTGTCCTTATTGTCTTTGGACGCACCATCACGGAGTCGTTCGGTCATCACAACATTTTGATAAACCATGTCCACTGAAGGAAGAGGTGTTTGCGCAAGAAGATGAGCCCGGATTGATGCATAATGATCATCTAACCCGATTAGAAAATAATGAAGATAGTCTTCGTCTCTAATCTCCTCCACATGTGCCACAATATTACAGGAGCACTTCCCACACGCACACTTAAGTACACGCATAAAAGTGAGAAGCTCCTTCCACACCTTTATGAGTCTGCCAAAATAATCGGCCACCGACTCGGTCGAACTCTGCTTGCATTCACCAAGAGATGTCTTCAATTGGCACACACGAGTACCACTGACTACACAGAACCTGTTCTTTAAATTCATCCAAAGAACATTCGCATCATCATAATCACCAATTGTCGATCACACCTTCGGATCAAGGGTATTAGTGATCCATGAGATCAACATAGATTGCACGTTAATCCAATCTTCCACCTTTGAATTAGGCTCAGCCGGTTTGGTAATGGTTCCATCTACGAAACCAAATTTCCGCTTGGCCATCAAAGCTCTTCGAATAGCTTGTGACCATTCTTCATAATTCTCACCATGCAATTGAATTGGCGTGATCACATTACCGGGACTATCACTCGACCCTAGGTAATACAGTAAGTCAATCGGAGGTTTTTCACTCATATTTCACAATTTGATCTCACAAAAAAAAAAAAAAAATTATTTAGGGTTTTTTTAGAATTGGCTCTTGATACCATGTCAAATTAGGCACAAATTCTCAATCTTCTCATTCAACATGTAACAAATATTTATACAAGTGTATGCCTTGGGGAATAATCTTCCTCACAAGATAATATTAACAAGATCACAATATATATCTACTTTCCTATCATATATTAAGATATATTCTATCTTAATTATACTTATCATATATTAAGATATATTCTATCTTAACAAATACCCAGGTCAAAAACAGGTTACACCTACGCATCAGCAGGATGTGGGATATTGCCAAAAACTGGGACTGGTTTGGTATGTAATGACATTTTAATTTTGAAGTATTAAAGGACACTAAATTTCATTATATATTTATTTACGGAGTATTTATTTATTATTTTGTGCAAATATGAATTTATATATTTAAATGATTTGTAATATTTAATATTGGTAATTGCAAATGCAGGGTTGTTTGAATTTGGATGGACAATTAGAGCTATTCCAGAAAACAATTAAAAATGAGTTGACATTCGAAAGCCCGACAGAGCTATCTCAATACTTGGGCAACTCTATATTCCTCATTTGGGCCGGAAGCAACGATTATCTCCTCAACTATATTAGTGGGCTGAGCCCAGAATACTCTCCTGAAGAATTTTCCCAAGCCCTTATCGATAGTTTATCAGAGAAGTTGAAGGTAACTCAAAGCTATATAAATCAATAACACATTTGACCATAAATATCGTTTGTTGCTCATTAATGAAAAATATAACAATTGAATATTTTATACATTGAGACGAATCAAATAAAATCCAATATAACTATGATGGGGCTTATGTCCTATATAGTCAATATATGCATGAGGGAAAAAAATTAAACATATGATGCAACTATTTAATAAAAAATCTTATACTTCATCCGTTTTTTTTTTAATATTGCACCACTTATCTTTTAAGGAAGTTTCACATTTATTGCACCATATCCATTTTAGGAAAAGAAATTTATGTGTTCACATTATAAATACCTAATATACCCTTGCTTTTCAACCCTTACTTTTATTTTGTGCATACAATCACATGGGCAACTTGGTATTTCTACCTTTCTCATTCTTTTTTCCACTATCAAAAAATTTGTGTCAAACCCTTATGGTGCAATAATAAAAGAACGGAGAAAGTATTGTTATTCAATTCTTTGGACAATATTTGCAGATCCTACATGAATTGGGAGCCAAAAAAGTAGTAGTGCTCGAGGTGGGTCCCCTTGGATGTCTACCAGTATATCGTAGACCCGGTGGTTACGATGAGGCTTGGTGTGATGAGGGTAAAAATATGAATGCAACAATGTTCAATGACCGTCTTGCTCCCATGCTCGAAGATTTGGGTTCAACATATCCAGATTCCCTCTACACTCTTGGGAGATTATATAATCTCACTAATGACATCTTTAAAAATCCTAGGTATTATGGTATGTAAATTTTGTTAGATTCATGTCAATGTGTAATTTTAAAATTTTATGTACATTATCTGATCTATAATATAGTGTCTATGTCTGATTTAATTTTATTAAATGAATGTGTTTAGGTATGAGCAACGTTAGCCATTCGTGTTGCGTAACTGGAGAAATATTGGGCCATCTAGCATGCTATGCAAATATGAGACCATGTGCAAACCCTGAAAAATACTTATTTTGGGATGGTGCACATCCTACTCAAGCTAGCCACAATATCTTGGCCTCTGCTTGCTTCAATGGCTCTGATATATGTGTTCCTAATAATATCCACCAACTTGTTCAAGCGCAAACTAACACTGCATCTCTTCATAGTGCAGCATAATTCAAAAAGTGCTTAAATGAAACAGCAATGTATTTTACTTTTTAAAAAAAGTTCAATAAAAGATTTGTACTTGCAGTTTATACTATATCTAAATCTTTGACATTTTTTTTATTGGAAAATTTGCAAATTGCAGCCATTTAAAGTCCGTATTTTGCAAATTGCAGCCATTTCAATTTTTTTTTCCAAATTGCAGCCCAAAAGTTCGTATAAATTGTAAATTGCAGCCTGATTCAATTTTTTCATCGGTTTACATGTTGAAAAATCTTCGGTTAGGGTTTTAGGGGTCATTTTAGTCCATAGGGACCCGAATTGAGCTCGGAATTAGCAAAAAAATAACGTAAGTGTCTCATATTTACAGTTTCCCACAAATCGATACATTTTTGTTTCGAAAAACGAGATACTTGCGTTATTTTTTTTGCTAATTCCGAGCTCAATTCGGTCCCCTAAGAACTAAAATGGCCCCTAAAACCTTAATCGAAGATTTTTCAACTTGTAAACCGATGAAAAAGTTGAATCGGGCTACAATTTACAATTTATATGAACTTTTGGGCTGTAATTTGCAATTTTTTATTTAAATGGCTGCAATTTGCAAAATACGAACTTTAAATGGCTGCATTTTGCAAATTTTCCTTTTTTATTTGACTTGTATTCACTTTTTATATTCAACCTATATAAAAAGTTCAAAACAACTTTTATGAATAGTGTGATGACTTTTTTACCCCTAAAAATATTTATTTATTCATATGTCCATTTGTAGTTTACTTTATACTTCATGTACTTGATTATTTTCATATGCCCATTTATGTTAACTTTAACCCTACCTATTAATGATTGTGTACATCGAATCTAGAATTGTTGTAAGTGAAATGAGCAAAGGTAGGCCCCTGGTTAACGCAAGGAAACATCTTGATGTTTTCTCTAAGATTAATGATAGGTCACTTTCTACATTTAGTAAACTAGACTTATAGCAAGCCTATATAGAAGTATTACCCTTCAAAATACCTTGCATCATTCAACTCAATTCCTGTAATAATTACGTCCCATAAGCAAACAAGCTGAGGCATTCATTAAGAGGCGAAAGGAGCATATATTTATCTCAATACCATCTAAGTAACACATATACTCGTATTATTTAATTCGGCTAAACTTGATACATATAGGAAGAAGTTGAGCATATATATTGTACAAAATCCTAGCAAAAAAAAAAAAAAAAAAACTGTGCTGCTATATATGTCATGTAAGACCAGGACCTATACTATGTTCCTTCTATAGACTAATACATTAATCTAAATTAACTAGAAAATAAGTTGAACAGCAAGCCGCAAAAAAAGGCAAATAATACAGGACTATAATATATACTCAGTGAGGATTAAAGGTTCACTAACTACAAAGGGTCAAAATTGTGAACCTTAAACCCTAACTGAGGTTAATTAAGAGCTAATTTTGTTTTAGTGTCTGGGATTATGGTTGTTAATGGGTGGCCTTCTCTTAGGTCTTCCCCTTCCTCGGTAATCTCTATGCATTAGCTTCATAATCTCTTTAGTCACGTCTAAGAGTCTCTTTGATTCATCATCTTTTTTAGCTTTTGTATCGTAATCTTGAGTAGTTTTTGCCTTGTTGGTGTTGCTTTGTGTTGCCTTCTTCTCCAACTATTAATCATGTTGCAAAGAAGAATTGGAATGCTTAAATTATTAGACCATGTCAAAGATTATTATTATCAATGAATTTGAAAATTACAATTTTATATACCCCAATATATGATAATATAATGAATAATGTATAAATACCTTATTGTGTGATTTATCATGAAATTTCAAAGAAGAGTTGATCTTCAAAGCATTTCTCTCTTGATCATTTCCTGCATTCCAAAAAAAAGTTGTAGATAATACTATCAAGCCAAGGAATTAAATTAAATAAACCATGAAAATCATAATTTTCTTAAATTAATTGCTAATTAATTATAAACAATTAAATTGGTTGCTTGCAAATCTAAAATCAATGCCACAAATTATAATAGGCGGAGTATATAGCGAAAAAAGGAACTTCATTCATACATAGGGGTTCATATACATGCATATATAGCCATTTAACTATAATTTCCTAACTCTTGGAAACAACCTTTGACATATAGGTTAGCTAGAATAACCTAGATCCCTAAATAAACTATTTCATTAGTTTAAGGTTTAAATAGGAGATTCAATAGACTATACACAACAAAATTTTGATCTATTTATACCAAGATAGATCAATCTACTATACATACAACTCAATCATAGGTTAAAAATAAACTTAGTGATGCTTAGAAGGGTGTGACCGAGGACCGTGATAATCAGTTGCACTAAATGCTTCATTCAACTTCATAGAGCTATAACCACTTGTAGTAGTATGATCATTAACTTTATAATTCATATCAAGATCCCCTTTTACTCCAAAATCATTCGTATCATTAACTTTAGGAGCACCTGAGAACACCGGAGTTTGATTCTTCTTCATTGTCACCATATGATGATCATCCTCTTGAACTTCATGGTGAGTAATCATCATTTTCCTTCCTCCTACCATACCACCTTTTCTTGCCTTTTCGACATGTTTATTAGCATCAACAAGTTCCTACACAAAACTTTGTCTATGAGTATATGGAACAATTAATATTGGTGCTACTAATTAAAATAAATACAAAGATTTTAATTAATTAAAAGAAATTCAAATTAAAAAGAGGTAAATAGTGATATATCTCTATGAATTCAATTATTTAATTAGATAAGTGATTGGAAAAATAGCATACCTTTCTTGCAAATACATGATTTTGCCTCGATAGGGCATTCGATACCTTAGCTACATGAAAGAAAAGGAAGAACATTGTTAAATCTCATTCTTTTAGGATAATATATGATTACTCCAATAATTGATTAAGAGAAAATAAAATATGTAAAAAAATCACCTTGATGAGCATGAGCTAAGGAATTTCTTAGAGCATGCATAAGAAGAAAAACAGCCAAAATTAAGCTAGTCAATCTTAAGGAAACCAATTTTCTCATTTTTCTTTCTACACAATTTTTTTTTTTCTTTTTTAGTTTTGATGATTTAGGAAAAAAAAAAAAGAAAAAAAGAGAAGAGGCATAAAAAAGCTCAGAGTAAGATTTTATAGAGCTAGCTAGTTAGTTTGAAGAGATACTCAAGTCAAAGCTAGGGTTCCTAAGTCCTAAAGATTATTAGAATATAAGTTGTTCGTACAGACAAAGCATTGGGAAACTTAAAAATTAAATCAAGAAAAATGCAGAATTAATTAATTGTTTATATTCTAAAGTTGAATGCGGTCATATGATATATGAAGATTCGCTAGTTAAATTAGCTACAAAGTAAACATTAGAGTAAAAACATAAATATATAAACCAATGTCAGGCCATTTGTATTATGTAATATGTTGTTTTATGTGGTTTAATTTGAATATTATTATCATAATTAAATATTATGTTTATGGATGGTTTTGACAGATAATCGTTTGCATGCAACATGGACTGAAAGAGGCTGATTTACTGCTGTACTATAAGATGATATAGATGCACTTCTATGATTATCCAGAAAAATAATTAGTCACTTGTGTCCATATTCGAGAATGTACTTCATACATCATATTGCTGGTTAAAGTACATTATCAACGTGATTATTTTTTTCGACAAATGGTGTAAGTGATACATATTGTTACATACACTATAATTGTACTTTGTATCACAAACAATTGTTAAGGAAAAATCTAAGACAATAATGTGGCTTAAACTGTGCATGGTAATCAGTAAATGGGCAAGGCATTTACCACAAGGAAGTTTTAAATTTTGCAATAGGACATGAAAAATCTTATAGCTAGGTTTTTTGTGATTTGTAATTCGAAATAAGGTTATACATAACGAGGAAAATTCCCTTTGTCTTAAATTATTGACTCAAATAATCTTCGTACGGAGTAGTATAAAAAGTTTATAACAACATATCTTAGTAGATTTCTCAAATTAGTTATCCTAAATAATCAATGTATTCTGACGTTTAAAATTAATATAAACTGATCTATTATTAAGATACTATAAACACCGACAAAAATATAACTCCAAAACCCTTCGATTAACAACCCTCCCCTCGCTCTTACCCCTCTTATTAAGGAAACGAACAAAACAAAATGGAAAAAAATAGGCAATGCAGCTTTCAAGCTGTTACACATACTATATTAGTAATTTTATATGATGATCAACTAACCATATTTAGCAATTCAATGATAAGATATTAATAAGGTCAAAGCCCTTGCTAAAGCTTTTTTAGTCAGAGATTCCACTCAAAGCTGTAATTTTCTGAAATATATTTTATAGTAGTTAGATGAAATACATAGTTAACACGTACATTCATTACATACATTTTGGACCGACCTTCTGCATCAAATAAAACGTCCATGTATGATAGTCCACAATCTTGAATTCTTGATCAATAGTACAAAGTGTTCTTTTGATGTACAGAGAGGTTTAAGGGTACTAGTGATATAGACGGAATTTTATCCCGATCTATAACTCCGTTCTACAATACTTTAACTAATTAAGCTAATTGACATTCTTACGAGATCTGTATTTATATTAGGCCAAATATAATTATCATGATTTCTAAAGATTTGAAGACTAATTATTCTTCATTGATCTATTTAAAATACGAGTACATGTCAATGTCGAGACAAATTAGACATTCCTTGGATGCTTTCTTTGGGTTGTACGTACGCGTAGACGCGTAGTAGTATATTTACTTTAAAATATAACTAGATGTAAGCCCGTGCGATGCACAATTCTAGTATATCATTCTATTTAATTAAAAATTTTGTATATTTATGAAGATCATTCATTAGATGTATGGATAAAATTCCTAATATCATAAGATAATTTTAATTTTAACACTAAAGTTATATTTTGTTGTTTTATTTATTTTACGTGACGCTTGAATTTAAAATTCCAAACCTTATTCACTAATTTGCTTATGTGACAATATAAATTTTTAATTCAAAAAAAGAAATGACAAATCTCGTTTTTTATTGATCAAAATAAGTCTTTTGCCTATGCATTTATTTAATATACTCGTTCTGTTTAAAATGTTAGTCTCATTTATAATCGGTTAACTATTAAAAATTATGGGAAATCAATCATATAAGATTTAGTTTTATTCGTCTTGATGAGTACATTATTAAAATCGAACTTTTATAATATTTGTTAGGGAGGGATTAAAGATACGTAGAATTTTCCATCAAAAATTTGCATCCATATGTGTAAAAAGATATTACTTAGTTTTTTTTTAATTTAAATTTTAATTATTCTCTATTCGTAAAATTAAACTTTTAACTTAGTTTTTTTTTTTTATATTTAGAAAAGATAATTATTGGTTATTAAAAGTAATTTAAATTTTAATTATTCAATACCTATGTGTCAAAATTCTTAAATCCTATTCGTCACTTTTGCTTAGGTGGCGAGTAAATTTTTTAATTCTAAAATAAATTATTAATCTATTTTTTCATTGGTCAAAATAATACCTTTTCTTATGTGGCGCGTCAAATGCTCCCGAAAAATGCCTACTTTATTTATATATACTAGGTGTGAAGCCCGTGCGATGCACGGGTTAGTTTATATATATTTTTTTTATTATTTTTTGTAATATTATTATTATTACAATTATTATTTTGTATTATTATTTTTATTATTAATTTGTTTGGATTTTTTTTAAGGATACACTTGTATTGATTATTTTAATTAATTTACTTAAAAATATGCTCTCGTGTTTTAATCCGACAAAATAATTAATTAAAAATTAAATAGGTTTATTTGACTCTAACTATTTCTTTAGTACCACCAGTATATGTTCCAAGTACTTGCACATGTATTAAAGTATAGCTAATCCTAATCCAATCCATATTTCCTTCTACATCAATTAAGAATTATCGGCAGTAACACACTAAAAAATTAATGGTAATAAATTTATCCCTAATTTTAAATTATATGTTCCAACTTAAATACATACTTGTAAATGAAAAAGCTACCCTTTTCTTCTTTAAAAAAATATACTACCTCCAACCTCTGTAACGGATGCTACACTTTAAGTGCAACAAACCAATGCAAAAACTTTCCTTTAGTAAATTTTTTTGTATGATATTATTATATTACCCTTTCTTATAGTTTCCAAATCAAAATTAAAAGACTAAATGAGACTTGATTAAATTACAAACATAAATCAATTAACCTCAAACTAAATCAACCTCCCCCAACTACCACCATTCAATCACCAATTCAACGATCAAAAGAAAAAAAAAATCTTCCAGACATTCCCTTATTCATCTTTCTCTCTCCTCCCTCAAACTTCACCAACAACCACCACCACCACTGGTCCCTCCGGATTCCGTGCACCGCTACCAAACTTCTCCGACCACCACGAAACTCTTGTCTCTCTTCTTCGGCCACCACAAAACTTCTATCTGTCTTCTCCGACCACCAAGTCAACCCGTGTCAAAATCGTCAATGATGTTATGGTCAAATTTGACCAAATAAACCCCTAAATGACGATTAGAAGCTAAATAACTACCAGTTTTAAAGCTTTGTCTTCATAGTTTTAGGTTGTTTGGTGGTTTTTTCTCTTTAGTTATTATATTAGCAAAAGGTTTAGTGAAATCATTGAGTTGGTTTTTCTGTTTTGTATACTCAGTAAAAACTTTATTCCAAAGCTTAATTTGAACTCGTTTCCCTCTAATTACAAAAAAAATATTAGATACACATAAAATAAATATACGTAAGAAGAATTATTTAAAAATAATTTTTTTTTAAAAAAAAACATACATACCATTTATCTTCTATTTCGATAGAATCACCAATTTCGTTTACAACCATACCTACTACGTCTAATATAAAAATACAACATTTAAAAAAAAAAACATACATACCATTTATCTTCTATTTCGATAGAATCACCAATTTCGTTTACAACCATACCTGATTTGGGTATTTTATACCCGGCCGGGTGGCCCAATCAGAAAGCGCCACGTATCCTCCATATAGGTGCCATTTCGACCTATGGAAAGATGACACGTGGAGGGTGGACTCTTCTCCGTCCTACGTGGACTGAAGGTCCAGCAGGGACCATTCAGGTGGCGACGCGTGTCATCCAAAAGGTGCTTTAGTATTCTTTTGGGCACAGTGACACGTGTCACTCTGGCATTGGCCCTGGGATGGCGGCCCTCTAAGGCCCAAATCCCGAGGCGCCGCAAAACGGCGTGACCTAATTCCTAGGTCACCAGATCCTAGGAGGGGCACACTTTTGAAAAGGACCCTATAAATAGGGAAATTCTGGCATTTATGAAGAAACAGAGAGAGAATTTTACATGCAATACGAGACAATACGTCACTTACTACAGAGTTGTCATTCTCAAAGAACAGACAGCACTTACCCTAAGCTTGGAATCCGAGCAGATAAACTTTACTTCTGCACGTTTTATTACCGAACGCTTGCTAACTTAATCTTCGGAGGCGGACCACCGACCATCCGGCGGTCCGTTTGCTTTGCAGGTACAGGCGTCCTTTGCTGAGTCCAGTTTCAATGTTGTAACTCTCCCAAGGGACAAAAACCCCCGAAACATTTGGCGCCGTCTGTGGGGAGAGTACCTCTGAAATGGCTTCACAAGAACCTATACCAAATCCAGAGGCCATTTGGCCTCCAGATGATATACTGGTCCAAACGGACCATGACTCAGGGGACGACGCTGACATCGAAACCTATGTGGATCCAAATGGATCCCTCATCTCTAAGCGCATCCGCAGTAAGGAGAGGCGGGAGCGCCACCATGACCAGGCAGGGCCAAGAAAAATTGCTGGTCAACCAAAGAAGCCCTCGGGGCGGCCGGTTGATCCTTCCCAGGCGGCAGGATCAACTCCCGTCACTCGGGATGAGCTAATGTCACTCCTGAGCAGCCTCAGGGGTGAAATCAAGCAGCTCGCCTCGAAGAAGTCGCCTGCTCCTAGAAAGGAGCGGTCGGCCAAGAAGCCAGCCCAGGCTGGCAAACAAAAGTCGGTCAGGGATCGTCAGCCGACTCCTCATCCTGCTCCTAAGGAGAAGGCCAGGCCCCAATTTGACCTTAATCGGCTCCGTTTCCCAAAAACGGGCGCAAGAAAACCCATCCGGCACATAC